GATTTTCATTCTCATATAGGTGCAGTGAAACGCCTATGTTCCTGATTTGACCTAGAAAGCAGAAGGTAAGACAACTTCTAAAACAAATAGTTTATAAGTTTTACACCAGGATGATTGCCTTTCTGACAGCTTCACTATAAATAGCCTTAGAATCTGTTTGCTCTCCACCACAGGACAATGCCTATCTAACTACAGTGTATTAACCATGAATGGAGTCTGTAGAAGAGAGGTAAAACAACGCCAATTCTGCTGAAGACATTCTTAACACCACAGCTGCTGTTTTAGAGCTCACTTAGGTGAGCACTTAGGTCATTGCTAACGCCTTTGGAAAATATGATGGTCTTTCACATTGACTATTCTGTGATCTTAAACATCTTAGGCAAAAGGCAGACATCTTGCAGGTATTTAATGAGACATAGCAGGGTCCCAAATATGCCATACTCAAAGCTCAAAATCTGAGGAGGAGGCACCACGCAGGGGATGAGCATGTACTCTAGGAAAGTGCTCCATCTCAGTCCGAAGGCAGGAATTAAGATCCTGTGGTAAACCCACATGAGTTAGGCGGCTAATGACCCTGCAAACATTCCCTTCTTCTTCTCTGCTACATCTAAGCTCAGGGGAGTTTTCTGCCCCCTCCCAAGACAAGGAAAACACTGCAGTTTTAGAAGGATTTTCAATCCTAACAAGTGAACACCTAGATGAAACACTCTAGCTCAGCACCTACTGATACTTGCTTCTGATTTGTAGACAAGAAAGTAATGATCAGATGAACTCCCTGATCATTCTGCTGACCTCGAACAGATCTGCTCTTCTCACTCTCTGCTTATTCAAGTGACAGGTTTTCCACAGAGAAGCCTCCACACACCTCAGCCATTTTGAGACAATGTCCATGTTAAGATCACTTCTCACCTTTTCAAAGCTGCAATGGACATCTGAGCTGTTCAAAAATAACAGCTGCTATTTCAGCACAGTATAGATACCCATCAGAACACTGTCAAGAGAAACACGAGTGTTACCACAGCATCTTGCGTAGCACTTGACTGATAACTGAATAAGAGTACATTTATACACTGTTTTCTGTTTAGTCTGGTTTTCTTATTGCAAAGGATATTTGTCTAACCTCCTGGAATCCCACCCATGCTAGAAACATTTCACTACATTTCCTCACTGCAGGCTATCGCTTGGCTTGTCTTCCCTAAATATTTCTCATCATCGGTGCTTCTTTTTAAAAAAGGAACTACAAATTGAGGTTTTGAACCTATAGGTGTTTGCAGGAGTGCACAAGCAAACAGATTTTGGAATAAAGTTGAAGACGCTCTTAAGTGCATACATAGGTTCATAGTGCTTGGAAACAGGAAAAGTGAAAAGTATGCAGAGTATTATTTAATACTGGGTCAATACACTAGTAATATTTTGCTAGAGCTGAAGTTTCTGCTGTAAAATTTGGCTACCTAAGGTATTCTAAAATGAGTAAATACAACAAAACAACGACAGTGTTGCTGTATTTGTCTCCTAGCTACGCCACTTAGACCTAGCAAATAATAAGACAGGTCATGTGTCAGCCATGAGAACGGAAGGAGCCTCAAAACCAAAGCAAAATTAATCTTTAGACAGAGCTAACGATTCCACAGCTAATATCTGTCCAGAAACACTGAACACAGAAAGACTGCTCACAGTACATGACAAGTTCATGTAACAGAATTATTAATCATTTGTAGCAAATATATGAAGAGATATCAAGCACCTGATGGAAACTAACCCAAAGATCTTACTGTGAAGACAGTCAAGGGCACAAATCATAGTGACAGAGGTGAGACACAGCAGGAGCAGGGACAGAAAGAGGGAGGAGGAGAGGGAGGGAAAG